AAAATCAACGTTGTCGGTCGTCGTATTCCGTCGGAGTGGGAGGAACTGGAAATGAGACGGAGCTGCAGGTACCCTCTCCAAACCATTAACCTAGAAACAACCAGTCGACGGCCCGGATAGAATGACTGCGGCGGCCAGAGAGAGAGACGGTGGTGCCGCAGAGAGATGGAAGACAACAAAAGATGTCGGGAGAGCAAGGGGCGATGAAAGGTTCTTCCCCTTTTGGGGAGCGACGCTAATAAGGAAAAAGGATAAAGAAGGGGAAGCGTGAAAAAATGAAAAATTCTCTGATTTCAGGCCCCAATAATGGCGTGAAGTGATCATGTGGTTTCCTTTCGAAAACACCGTTCAGCAAGCTAGGCCCTCGGATTGGATCCAAATAGTCTATATGGCCAAAAAAGGGGTGGTCATGGTGGTTACTGGAAAAAAACAAGTAAACAAGGTAACTCATTCTGTTATATCTTAGGTAAACATAAAGTATAAGGTGATCAAATATGAAGAGTTGAAGGGTGTACTTTGGTAACTCGGGCAAAGTAAATAAGCCAAAATGGTTAATAAACCCTTTATTCAAGGAGCCGAAAGCTTGCATTAGTTTTTGTTGGGGATATGGGTACTGGCGCGCTCACACAGCCGTGATAAGAAATTGAAGCTTTAGGGTTTAACAACCTAAGGCGTGAAGCGCCCGAAGACATTTTCCTATGGAAAGAAGAATGATAGAAACATAATTATCTGCTTGTTTTGTTATTTGGAATTATTTATCGTTTATTCTTTTTTTGGGACGTTGATGGATTGTTTGGGGAATTTTGGGAATAATTAGGGAGTATTTTAGTAGGGAGTATTAGTGGGGTATAAGAGGGTTATTTGTCAGGTTATATATTCTGTAACTAGTGGGGGATTCTCATCAAGCAATTACAGATAACAATCAACCCTAATCTCCCTTCCTTCCTCCCTCTCATTCCCTAACTCTTCCCCCTCTCTCAAGATTGCTGCCGTAACCACCTTTCCTTCTCTCTTTCTTTCTAAAATCCTCTTCCTCGTTCCCTTTCTTAATCAACCACAGAGATCAAACCCCCATTGATCCCTAGTACTCCTAATCCCTAGATAGAACCGAATCTTGGCTCTATCATTTAGTATCAGAGTCCGGTTCTAATTACGAGTTTATCATAACTCACAACCGGGGGTAGGAGCATAATGATGGCAGTTACCACCAAGTCGAAGTCAGCGGATGAAAAAGCGGCGGAGAGGGCTGTGCAAAATAAGGAGATCAGCGCAGGAAAGAAGGGAATTTTCTGTTCCACGTCCGACAAGAACCGCGATGTGCATGCGGCGGTGCTTCAGAGCGGCGAACCACCAATGGAGAAACGTCAGGATGGAGTAGTGGACGAATCCACGGATCTGATGGAGATCAAGGGAGCAGTTGGTTGGATCTGGGATATGCAGTTGATCTTGGATAGCAGCCTGTAGAAGGTCGACGCCTCGGTGAGGGCGACAGAGGCGGATTCGTTGGTAGAGATCAAGGGACTCCGCAAGGATTTCCAGGTGTTCCAGAGGGTGATGATGGAGTTACTGCAGATGAGGAAGGAACCACCGTGGAGGAGACGGGATTTGCGGTGGCGCCGAAGGCGGTCGGGAATGAGCTAGCGTTAGTGGCGGCAGTGGAGGCGCCGCCGAGCGGTTTTGACAGGAAGGAGGGTGATCCGGGCTTGGTGATAGGAGACGGTCCTGGTGTGTGCACCAAAATCGGTGTTATTTACCCTCCATCTTAGGTTATGTTTTGTGCTAATTCATGTGCTTAAGCGTTTAAACATTGTCAAATACGTCCCTATTTTGTTCATATTTGATATTGATGTGATTATAGGGTGTATTAGTCAATATGTGCAAATTAGGTACAAAACAAGGTCACAAGTATAGAAAAGGGGCAAGGATCAAAGATCGTGGCCTACAAGCCAAAGATCAAGGCCGAGATTTCTAGTCGTGAAGACTCACTAAAGATCGCGGCCCATAATCCAAAGATCACGACCGCGATCTTAAAGGCCCAGTGCGCAAACTTCGGGTGGAAGGAGCTTTGGAGAAGTAGAGAGTTTCCCCAGTTGCATCAAGGGCAACGTTCACTTTGCCCACAAGGAAGATCGCAGTCACGACTCGAGGATCGCGAACGCGAAGTCAGCCCATGATCTTCCCCCTTTAAAAGGCCATGACGATGTCGTCTTGAGATCGCTGCCTATCCTCAGAAGATCCCACCCGCAATCTCCCAGCCTCAGGCAGCAAACTTCCCTGAGTCCAGAATGCCTATAAATAGAAGACCCCTTTCCCCATTCTAAGAGAGCTTATTTTGGGTGAAATTTTTGGTTCTAAAGAGAGAGAAGAGAGAGAAGCTGAAGGAAGGAGAAGAAGGAGGATCTAGTAGCAAGGAGGATCTTCCCCAACTTCAAGTCTTCTTCTATTTCTATCATGTTTCTTCTTCCCTCCTTTATGGAGTAGTCCTCTAAGGTACTAGGGGTTCTCAACCCCAAACCCTAGTTTTAGGGTTTATTATGTATGTATGGATATTTTAGGGTTTGAATGAATGCATGTGTTTTCTACTAGATTCTTAATGTCACTCTTTCCTAAATGATGATGCTTGGGAAATTGGCCCCAATCTTCCCTCTTAGCCTGCTTTATACTACCGCGATGGGTACAAAGTTCTAGAGTTAGACGGGTATGCGCCATCTGGCGAGTTTAGGTTAGATGAATGAATGGGGGCCTATAGTGGTCGAGGCGACCGAACCCCTGCTATAAGTAGCCTTCTTAGATGAAATCCGGGATGAAACCTCGGTGTGAACGGTGGATAGTATCCATTGAAATGAGCCATAAGCTTAATGCCCCAGATACGATAGCCTAGATCGAGGTGACTGAAACATGGATTTAGGTGAGGCATATGGATAATGACAAATGCCCATGGAAAAGAGCTCACTCACCACATTCGATAACCCTAAGTATCTATACATGCATAGTATCCCTAATCTAGGGGGAGGATTAGTTCCCCGAAGTACATGCTTTCAATGTAGTTAAACTATATTTTTTATGTATAAGCGAAATGATGGGAACAAACTTAAGCGTAAAAGCGAAGCGTAAGAACGTAAGTTTATATGAACCATTGAAATTGTAAAAAGGAAACTTAAAAGACTAATAGAATCCACACACACAAAATTGGAAAAGATTTTGAACTAGAGTACATTCTAACTCATAACAAGTTCATAAACATAGAAAAAGAGTTCAATCATACGCTAATATGAATCATAACTCTGAAATATTCATATTATGGACATCACAAGCCCCCCCCCCCCCCCCCCCCCCCCCCCCCCAAAATTGTGATCATGATTTATTCTACATTTGGGCAGCAACGTCCACATTTCCATCCAAATCACATCATCTTAATTACCGCCATCGTCATAGTTGTTATTGTCACTAACATCATGCTCCTCATAGATACATCAATCATCATTCATGTTAAAAGAATCATTTTGAAGCCAGCGGCATGATCACTTCAGTTTTTTCATCCACAAAAAAACCATTTTGACCGTCCCACTACGTGCCAAATAACATTATCATTAAAAGCTCTTATAAGCGTCCTAAAAGATAGCTTTTAAGGATTTTTATGCACATATTGTGGTTTTAGAGAGTTTATATTAAGCTTATGATGTCAAAAGATTTTTCAAAGAAAATTACTATATTGGAGGAGGTAAGAACTTAAAAGCGTAAGCTTTTAGGCTTAAACTATAGCCTTTAACTAGATTGCCTGCCTTTAACTTTGATCAACCTCTAGACTAGTATTTCCTCATATCCTTCACTCAAAACCTCAAAAAATGATTAACTAATTAACGACAAGGTGGGAAGTAGGGCGTACTTTCCTATATTATGTTATGATGGATAGGCTGGCTGCACTCCCTTTGAGGTAAAAAAAAAAGATTCAATTGCAAAAAAACCTATTTTTAGAGTTTGATACGAACACTAAGCCAAACAATTAAAAAAAAATAATAGACTCTCATAATAAGACAGAAAGCATCACTCTATCTGTTGGAGGCCCTATTCCTGGCAAAATAAAATCCTGAATAGCCTTTGGCTAGGAAAGCACAGTCAGACTAGTGTCGCGCCCAAAGCACCAAGACTGCTTATTCTGCTAAAACTGTAAAGAGACAAGACCTCTTATGCCAGAAAAGTAATAAAGTACAGTGCTAACGTGCAGCTCCCATTTCGAATCAAAGAGAAAGCCTAAGAGAAGACTATTTGAACAATAGGAATGAAAGAAGAACTTAATCCCACCCCAGCCAAAATAAGGCTTGCCTTCCACTCCTGACATTCCACATAGTAGCTGCAGGTAGATGGTGGATCACCCGGTTTACTCCTTTCCATAAGTTCGACATCCTCCCTGTCATTCTTGGCCGCCAACCAGTCTCCGTCTGCTGCATATACTTAGCGCGAATGACTCGAGCCCAAAGGGCATCCGGCTCCGTCATCAGTCGCCAAGCAATTTGAATCATGAATGCTTCATTCATCCTGGTAGCTGTACGAAGACCAAGTCCCCCCTCAGCCTTGGGTCGACAGATCGTATCCCAATCAACTAGGCTAGGGTACCAGGACCCAGGTAGAATACGACATTGATTACCACTATACGACAATGTCATCCTAGGTTAAACTTGACTTAGGATGGGATAGTTGTTGATACGGGCAAACGACTGACAATAACATGCACGAATTCAAGTGATCGGGCTACGATGGGTCGAGATTGTTACCCAACCCGTCAGCCCAGGAGTTGGCGTCTAGGAGGGGAAAGGCCAAGATAGACGGGTATGACAATATGATCGGCAACGAGTCGTTTGGCCTAGATATGGTGGGTGCGCAGCAAAGGCAAGGAGTGGGCCAACAGGGATCGTGCTGGTTGGGCCAAGATAGTCACTAGAAGAGCGACGAGCTACGCCTGGATAATCAAGTAGGAATGTGGGCACGAGTTCGGGCAGACAATGCAGAGTAACCAGGGCCCGACGGGTGAGCTGGTCGGGTCGGGCCAGGATGAAGCAGAGCCAAAGAAAGTCGGGTTGATCCTGGTCAACCTGAACCCGACCGGACAGAGCACCTGGTCCACCATGGCAGGAGGCGGTGGCAGTAGCAGGACTCGCAGGGTGGTACCCTCCTTTCGTGACTCCCCGATCGGCTGGGCGTCCCCACAGAAGTTGGGAGTGCTGGAGGTCAGGGCGGCTGGTTTCACTTGGGAGGATATGGTCGAGTTATGGTGGCCAGAGAGGAAGTCTGGAGCCCAAACTAGAGGCACCCTGTTATACCAATCCACGCATCGAAAATCATGACATTGGAAGGTATAGTGGTTATGGTTATAATTATGAATGTTATAATGAGCTTGTGTTTAGGGCCAAACATCCGATCATTGATTTTCCCAAATTCAATGGTCGGGAGGATGCTGGCTTATGGTTGTATGCAGCTGATCGATGGTTCTATTTGGGGAGAGGAAGGAATAGTTGGCATCGTTCTATTAGGAGAGAGATACGTTACAGTGGTGGGAATAGATGGAGAAATTGGATGCGGAGGCAGATATCCCAATTACATGGCCTCGTTTCCAGAATGAGCTACGTTATCAGTTCAGGCACTCAAAGGGGTGGGCTCCCAAACAGCTGGCAAAGCTTAGACGGACGGGGACATTGGCCGACTATCGAGCAGAGTTCCTCAAGCTGAAAAACATGTGCAAGGGGGTACCGGAAGAGACCTTGGTGGGCATGTGTATGGAGGGCCTGCGATCGGAGATTGCAGCAGCAATGAAGGTATTTAAGCCTGACTCTTTGAGGACTGTCTTTCACATTGCAAAGCGTAAGGAGGAGATTGCTAGCTAGCAAAGTACCGGAGGGCGCTTCCAGAAGACCAGTGGAGGAGCTAGTGGTAGGGCTGCGGGTGGCGCTGAAGGAGGAACTAGGCGTGTCTCAGTGGTAGGGTCCATAATGGCGCTTGCGGCGGCGGCAGTAGTGACTCGGCCAGGACCTCGAGCGATTTTTAAAGGGTTCATCAAGTTATCTCTTGCAGACATTGACCAGAGGAGGCAGGCAGGGAAGTGCTTCAATTGCGAGGATAGGTTCACCTTTGGTCATAAGTGTGCTAAACCGGAACTGACGATGCTCGTGGGCTGGAAGATGAGGCCGAGGAATGGGCGGCCATAGAGCGTGAGAAGCAGAAGGATGAGTCGGGGTAACCTTGAGGTCAAGGTTGTTTCGAAGTTGGGAGGGATGATAGAAATATAATTCTTTGCTTGTTTTTTTATTTGGGATTATTTATCATTTATTCATGTTTCGGGGACGTTGAGGGATTATTTGGATAATTTTGGGAATAATTAGTGAATATTTTAGTAGGTCGTATTAGCAGGGGTATGAGAGGATTATTTTCCAGGTTATATATTCTGTAATTAGTGGGAGATTCTCATTAAGCAATTACAAATAATAATCAACCCTAATCTCCCTTCCTTCCTCCATCTCATTGCCGAACTCTTCCCCCTCTCTCAAGGCTGCTGCCACAACCACCTTTCCTTCTCTCTTTCTTTCTAAAATCCTCTTCCTCGTTCCCTTTCTTAATAAACTAGGGAGATCAAACCCCATTGATCCCTAATACCCCTAATCCCTAGATAGAACTGAATCTTGGTTCTATCGTGGGACGATGTCGTATTGCTGACAAGGGGTCACGTCTCGAGGAAGGCATGGTCAGAGCTCATCCCTCTCCCACTTACCTAGATGTCACATTGCATTTAAAGTCCATCCACCGAAATAAAATCTATAAATAGATATTTACTCCAATGGGTAAGGGGATCGGTTTTTTAGACTCTCACTCTAGAAGACATAAACTTCTCTCTCTAGAACTCACTTTATCACTTTGTAATACTTCATTGTTGTGAAACAGTTAATAAGATCGTTCATTTACTTGCACCCCAAACCTCACGTGTCTCTCTCCTACACCTAGTTAGGCACAAACAGTTTTGTTCATTTAGGGGTTGCAAAAAACATCCACCAATGCCTCAATTCAGTGGGATAAGATAGGGTAAAATCCGAACTAAACAAATTATTCATTGATATGGATAAAACTCAAACTTGAATATTAAGAGTATTGGGTAGACATGGTTATTATGTTATTCAATTTGAACTTAATCGATCATGCATAAATTTTTTCTACAAAGTTTCAGAGATCTGCATTAATAGTATTTGATCAATTACAAATCCTATATGACATTTCTTTAAAGATCAGCATTAATAGTATTTGGTCAGTTACAAATCTTATATGGCACTCAATATACAATGGCAAACAGGATTGCATCAATGTAGTAGACACTTGTAAAGATGCAAGCTTGCATTTGATATAATTGAATATGCAAGTCATATAGGATAATAAATAAAATAATTTATTATTTTCTTCCATTTTTTATTTCTTTTCATTTATTATCTATTTCTTTTCATTTATTATAAAATCAGTTGGGTTACTAGTTACTACTTACTACATAAGCTCTCATTCTCTCTTTGATCTTTGAATACATTGGGCCTAAAGGACTCTTCCCACCGGTGGGCACAGTAAGTAACTAGCTCTGCTGGTCTGGAACAAGTCAACAACTGAAGCCCGCCAGGGTAGTAAAGGCCCATTAATAACTTTTCGGCTGACAGATTGCAGTCCAAAGACACAGATAAATACTGCAAGCATAAGTGCAGAACCTTAGTGGGCATTGGCTAGGTCAATAAGATCAACATCCAATAAGGGTATTCACATGCCTAGGACACGATAGAGATAGCAACAATTGTGATTCCATTAAGCGTTCAACCATGGAGTAAGCAAGCTACAAAACGCAGAAGGGCAAACAAGAACTATATATTTTACTCCGTCGGTACATGGCACTACTGCACATGAAAATGTTAAAAAAACCCCACATGTCAATAATCAATGACATCAATCAAACTCTTCCAGCCATCAAAATGAACAGCCAAAGTTCCAAGCTTAAGTAAGTTCCTTCCAAGAGAGAGTCCTGTTTCAACACAACTCGATGCACATATGTATGTATATATATATATATATATATATATATATATAACCAAGCCACATAGCCGTGTTCTACGATTCAGATATCAACAATGGCGACCATGGAGGAGGGGATTAAATGTATCACTTTGGTGGGTAGCCAGATGGGGGGTAGTTTGATGGAGGGTACCCTGCTGGAGGGTATCCCTGTGCCTGAGGGGGTGGGTATCCAGCCGGAGGGTATCCCTGAGCCTGAGGGGGTTGGTAGCCGTACCCTGGTTGAGGTGGATACCCAACAGAGGGAGGGACTTGTTGGTCCAAGCGTGACATCTGTTGCATCGGCGGCACTGACATTGGTTGTGGACCAAACTTGCCATCTCGTTTGTCCATTTCGATCTTGTGTTGCGTCTGCATACAAGCACAGACCCTGAATACAGAAAAAAAGAGGACGATGAAGGATTGATAAGTTGATGAGAAGATTCATGTCGGAATGGAGATAGGAATGAGTGAAAGAAAACAATTGCAGATGCTTACGTGCAATAGACCATATCAGATAAACAAGACAGCAACTGGGAAGCCTCTGATATCTCTTCACTTCCAACGATCATTGCAACTATGGAGAATATGCACGCAATTTGTTGGAGGCAGAACATGAAGCCCTGATAGAAGGGGAGAACCAACATGAATACCATGATTTACCAACTGAAAGTGCTAATGAATGAGGGGGGAAGGGAGAGCAAAAGAGAGACAGTACAATAATGCAGTTGTCGCACTGTGTTGTCTGAATGTTGAATTCATCTTGCAACAGAAACCGGGTAGAGGCTACAGAATTTCCGAAGCACAGGAAGACCTGCAAGTGCATACAACATGAAGTAAAGATCTGAACACAACAAAAACAATGAACTGAAACCCAGATCTACCAGGACCATTTTAGCATCATGATACAAATGGGGTACACAGGCAATTAACTTTAGCCCTTAGAGCATTTGCAACTCGATAAAAGGCTACGCTCGTTAAGAGATCAGGAGGCAAGTTCTACATTATATGAGATCATAACCTTGTTCTCAAGTTCAAATTCAACAGTCTCCTTAATCTAGTACCCATTTATATGCATCTAGAGAATACATATGAATAAGTGACCTTCATACCTCAGTGCAAAGGCAGAACTCCGGGCACTTACTTTCACCGCACCTTCCACTGCAAGGCATGTAACCAGCACAACAAACATACCTTGACATGTCATTGTAAAGTGCCCGCTTGCGGAGCAAGTAAGATACACAAGGCCCACTGCAAGAGACAAATCAATGTGTAATTAGCAACAACTGAAGCTTAGAGACACTCCCAAAACGTCACTAAAGTCTAAAACCACATGTAAGCTTTGCAAAGACAAGCAATAAAATTAAGATAGAAAAACACGACTTTAACTAGCAGAGTTTACACAAGAGAGAACAAAACAGTTCTGAATTTCAATGTGGACAATAAAACTAAGAAATTTATCTTCGACTTCAGTGACCATAGCCTCACTCACAAAGCTCAATATGAAATCTACTTTGTAAGCAACAAGGATGTGCTATTAAACACCTGTAAAACCAAGATGAAAAAAGTTCCATCTCAGAAGCAAATTGTTGAACCTAAGCCACTGTTGCACTGTGCGGACCCCATTGCAAAGCATCTTTCACTGAACAATCTAAATACAGTGGCAAGAGCTTGAAATTTGTAATGGCTAGCTCTGAATTATTACTTCCTAGGAACCATGATTTCTGCAGAATCTGGCTAGTTGGTGCAGCTTTAAACCGTGGGGACAAACCTTTGGCTAGCATAAGGCTGACAACAAGAACCAATTCAAGCGACAAAGTATCATAAATCTCTGGCTGACAGAGGAAACACACAAACCATTCTCAAAGTTCATACCTTGAGAACGGAGAACATTGAACAGATTCATACATTGTAGGACGAAGTCAACCCATGTCAAAACCCATCCTGACTACAGCAAACGAAGAAACCCTCGACATTCCATGGCAAAAGAAAGCTTAATTTTGCAAGAGAAAAGAAAGTTTCACAAATTCCAAGAAGATAGATCTGGAACTCGAAGAAGCTACAGATCGGAAGAGAGACTTACCACCAGAGAGCAAGGCAGCAATCTGAAAGTCACGAAAACGGAACGACCCCAATCAACGGCAGCAACAACCAAATATCAGACCGGGGGGAAGAAAATTCACAAAAGAACCACAAAGGAAAGGATGAATATGAGAAGAAGCTCACATGGAGTGTCAGCCTGAATGGTGTGGACAAGATCGCTGTGCCAGAGATTGCGGTAGTTCTGGCGGAGCTGCATCTTGTCCAAATGCGCCTGGGAAGCCATTTCTTGAGTTTCACCGACCCACTGTCAAGAAAAGCTGCAGAGTGCAGATTTCAGCCTTCGCAAAGGCAGAAACGATCAAGACCCAATTTATACGTAGGGCTGCGTTTGAAGAATTGAAGGGTTTTGAAGGGCGAATGAATTTGTTACGGCTGAATTTCCCGAGGAAGTTGCCGTCTTGATTGGCTGACACCCTGGGGTTTTTCTTTATTTGTTTTTCTTGAATTTTGAAACCCTTTAAGAACAAGGCAATGTAACGCGGAGCTGACCAATGAGTAAAGGTCTCGAAGGGAAGATGACGATGACTTTTCTACTGTACATGAATCTTTTAAACCACACCGTATTAATGGAGGAAGACAGGTCAAAGTAAAAACAGGATGGGTTAGCTTGACTACCCCTAAAGGGGTAGTGATTTTTGACACCCCCTTTATGATTGGCCAATTTTATTTCCAATCATTGGCAAGTATTAATTAAACTGGTTTTTTATTTTTTTTAATCTTGTAATTTGGGGTCTCTCACCACATTGGAAAAGAGAAAGAATCTGGGGAAAAACGAAATCACCCCCATTAATTACATAATTAATTTCTCTCACTGGTACATTAATTACACGTACCACTCCACTGGTACACGTACCACTCCACTGGTACACGTACCACTCCACTGGTGCGAGCAATCCACAAGGTAGGTTAGAGTGAGAACAATACCAGTGCAATGATATTTTTCATAACAATGATAAACAATAACGGAGCAACAATGCAGTACCACTTCAATGATACAAATACCACTCCACTGGTACACGTACCACTCCACTGGTACACCTACCACTCCACTGGTGCGAGCAATCCACAAGGTAGGTCAGAGGCGATCCCAGGATGGCGGCAGCTGGAGATAGGAGGATGGTGGTGGGGGAAGGCGCTGGAGGGTTTTGGTCGTTTCAGAGTAGAGGAGGGTTCTGGTTAAAATGAAATCAAAATGGAAAGAGGGCCCAAATGGAGAGAGAAGGAGACGAAAGGAAGAAAAAAAGGCAATTAATTGCACATTTGGGGGGGAGCTTTTTTCTGATTCCCCATATTCTTTCCCTTTCCAATGTGGGTGAGAGACCCCAAATTACAAGATTAAAAAAAAATAAAAAACCAGTTTAATTAATACTTGCCAATGATTGAAAATAAAATTGGCCAATCATAAAGGGGGTGTTGAAAATCACTACCCCTTTAGGGGTTAGCATAGTATCCCACCCCAGTAAAAACAGAAGAATTTCTTCATTGGCTCTGGCTTGAGTTCAAGTCCTTAACACTCTGTTTGTTTTGAGGGGTAAATGGAGGGGGGGTGCAAGTTTTTGGGGGTAAATGGGAATCCCAAAAAATTTGTACCTGTTTGGATAATTATCAACAGTAGGTAGGGGGTGCATTAAAGGGGTAATGGTACTGTTTTACTTAACCCCCCAATTTGGGGCGGAAGGAAGGGAAGAAAAAAAATTATTGGCTTTTATATATTTTTTTCTTCCTCCCCACTTTTATTTTCTACGGTTCTTTTTTTATGTGCTTTGGGGATGGAGGGAGAAGATGAAGGGGCAGGGGCAACCTTAATTTCCATCAGTTTCCATCTTTTATCTGCTTTGGTATATTTCTCTGGGGATTAATTGGGCAATGGAAAGTCAGGCTTGGGAAAGAGAGGCTTTTATGGTTGTCAAGTGGGAAGAGAGGGAGAAGTATAATACCATAGTTAGTAAATACTCCGCTTAATATACGTATATGTACCCGTATTAAACGCGTATAAAATTTGTATAACACGTTTAATATCCGTATTTAATGAATCAAATTGTTCAATTTAATATTATTTATATATTTATTTAATTTTACAATAATTATTTTTTTATATATTTATGACTGTTAAACGTAACATTCGGTTAGAGACGAAGTAAAATAGCCGTACGTATTTTATACACAACTTTCCCGTACCGTATTTTACTACCTATGTAGAATACAACATTCATATTATTATATTTACTCTTTATATATGATAATCTAAAACTCTTTCTTACATCACTTTGCACCCCCCTACTTTTTCATCCAAACAACAATTTACCCCTCTACTTGCACCCCCCAGCAATTTGCACCCCCCAGCAATTTGTACCTCAATTTGCACCCTCCTGCAATTTGCACCCCCCTTGTTGCCAAACAGAGTGTAAACCTCATTTCTTAAAGAGAATTTTAAAGTCTTTCTATTGGCTGATAGTAGATTAGGTAATTAATGGAGTTAGTAGTTAATAGGTAGTTAAAGGTAAATGAGGTTATGCAAATATAATTAAAATAATTAATTAATAATTCTCTTTATCTCTCCTCCCATGATTTTCTCCATAACCCTCTCTATATTATAATTAAAAAGAAATATGAAATTAATTTTAATTGATATTATTTAATATTTAATAAAATCCGAATTTAATAATTTTCATTTTCTAAAATGGAAATTTCAAATTTAAAATATATACCTCTCTCACATCTTGGCAACTTCCGATTAGTGTTAACATTTTGTAATGACATTATCAATATTTATAAATTGAATCATCATTAGGGATTTTCGTTGCATGAGTTTAGGATTTTTCGTTGTTAGGTATTCGTTTGTGTTTTTATTAATGTTGTTTGACATATTTTTAATAATTTTATATGACATTATTAACTTTTTACGTTATGTTTTGTTTGTAACATTAGCAAAAGTGAAATTGTGTTTTCAATTTGTTGGTACTTGAAGTTTATTTATCATTACATCGTATTATCAATTTAGTTCGCAATGATTTATAATAATTTGAAGTGCTATTATCAATATTTTTTTTCCAAGCACAATACAACCATTAGCAAAAATTTATTTCATTTGTAACATTGCTTATGTTTAGTGATTTGAAATATTAATATTTTTCGTTTATGTTTGTAACTTTGTCAAATGTCATTATTAAGAAGCATACTTGTTAGGTATTCGTTTGTTTATGACATTAGCAAAAGTGAGTTTACGTTTAGTGATATAACTATGGTTATTAATATTTCAGTCTATGTTAGTAACGTAGTTGGTGTCATTATTAATAGGTGTGTATAAGCATTATCAATGTTTGAAAAAATGAGATATTAATAATATTTAGTAAGGTACTTAACAATCATTAGTTGCTATCATTATCAAAGATTTTAGATGCATTATCCATTAAACACATGTTACTTATTAATGCCTTTTTAGTGCTATTTGATATTAAACATTGTATCTGAATATTATTCATATTTTTTAATAACAAAAATCTATTTCCTTATCAGTGGCTTGATCATTCGTTAAGCTTGATGTCATTTATAATGTTGAAGTCGGGCATTTTTACATTGATGTTTTGTGTTTATTTTCAACAAAATACTTTAAGTTATCAATGATTTACTGTATTGTTATTAAAAGTTTGGTGTTGAGGCGTGAATGTTGGTTTGCTTGAGTTAATATTTTTCTTGACAATGTTTGTTTGACTGAATCACACAGGTGCACTATGTCACAAGTACCCAAGATGTTGAAAATAAGTATTGTGTTTAGAAATCATTGGAAGAGGCCATGACTAGATAGTTATAAATATGATAGTGAAAATGTGAATCATTAGTACTAAAGATGTTGTAAATCAATGATATTGTTATTCAACTGTTAATGACCATGTTACATAACTTTGATGATTTATTCATAGGCGTTGATGACGAAACTATAAAACAGTAACAATTGATCCAAAATTGTTAATAATATAATTGTAAGACATTGATAAGTATATTGAAGTCGTTAATAATGATGAGATATAATAATAACGATTCATTTCATAAATACTGATAATGTCACTGCAAAATGTTAATACTGCATTGCAAGTTGCCACTAAATGAGAGAGAGCACATATTTTTAATTTTCAATTTTCATTTTAAAGAATAAAAAATATTAAGTTTGAATTTATTAAATATCAAATAATAATATTTAATTAAATTAATTTCGAATTTTCTTTTAATTGTAGTGGAGAGAGAGGGTTATGGAGAAGATCAAGGGGGAGAGAGAAAGAGAATCATTAATGAGTAATATTAATTATATTTTCATAATATCTTATTTATTCCAACTAACTATCAACTACTAACCCACATTAACTACCTAATCTAGTATCAGCCAATAAAAATGGTTTAAAAATCTCCTTAAACAATGAGGTTTAATGACCTGATCCAACCCGATTTTCTCTCTATTTCTTCCTTGGCTCTCTGTCCATATTAATATTTTTGGATCTTGACCTAGTGACTAGTGAGTGTGCAAAAGTGTTAGACTAATCGGAAAGGTGGGTTTTTAACTTTTTATCTTTTGGTGGTCATCTTGCATTATGTTTTCCCTATTTCAATATCTTTTAGAGATGATATTTCAATGATTGTCATCGCGGTAAGGAATCGAAGTATGAATCTTATACTATTTCATTATTCGTTGTGTTGCTCACACTCCCTCTGCAATTTGATGGACTTGATTGGACCAACTATGAATAGCATGTGTATAGTTATTAGAGGTGGCAATTTGAATCTAAAGGTGTTGTTTGGAAGTTCTGATTGTTAAATGGATGTATTGTCGTGAATACATGTATAATAGTATACATGTATTGTCGAATTTGATGCATTGTAGAATACAACGTTTGGTATATCTGATTGTTTATGTCACATCAGCTAAAAGTTGAGACAAAACAATCTCAACTCAACAATCTCAACAATCACAACGAAAAGTTGAGATATAACAATCACTCATTTTGAGTGATAGTTTCTGTCACATCAAAGAAACAATCCATGCATTGTTTCTGATAAAAAAACAAAAAAACGATGCATTCCATGGTTGTCATGCCGGCCGGCATGCCACTGGTTGAACCTGTACCGGTTATAAAACCGGTATGACACCACCGGTATAACCGGCATGATCGATATAGGAATCTACAAGTAAAATGATCTTATCTTAGTGAATTTAATTGATAAAAAGTAATTTATTATTTATTTTATGTGTTAAAAAGTTAAATGTTGATGTTATTTGTTGAATTCAAGTACAAATATTTAGATATTGACGTTAAATGTGGTGTTTAAATATGAGTATTTGTAAATTATTTGTAATATTAACCGGCATGAACCGGCACAAACCGGTATGTACCACCGGTCGAACCATTTCACTTGCTAAACCGTCACACTGGCATAAACCGGTTTGACAACCTTGATGCATTCTAAACAATACATGTGTAGTAACAATCTCAACAAAACAATCGCAACTACCAAACGACCCCTATTACATAAAAAAAATGTCCAACTAATCCAATCTATTTAATCTAATGGAATGAATTCATAGATTGATGTAAACTTATGGTTTAGTACTTATATTCTATATATTTTACAATTTTGTATCAGAAAACTTATTGAAAGTCGTTGTCTTACTCCATCATTTTTAAGAAACACCCTATATTTGTTTTTTATTATAAAAAATATAGCTATAAAATTACATTTTGACACCTGTATTTTTTAAGAATGACATTTTAATACTAACTTTTCAAAATTATCAAAATATTATATGTCAGTTAAATTCATTCCATAAATCTATTAATCTAATTTATGAATCCATAAAATCACAAATCCACTTATATGAATGTTATTTAACATTACTAGTTTACATCCAACTAAACTCCAATGGGACAAAACCCATATTTGCTCCGGACCCAAACATCCCTGGACCATGCTGGGCTGAAGCCTGATTTTGTTTGGTCTTCCGAAAAAGGAACATATTCTAAAAGCTTTAGGTTAATATATTTGTGTGATCTCAACTTTGCACATAATAAATATTTGGACTTTGCTACGGTGACATGCATGTCACGGTGACATGCACTTTTCGGTCGACCTCATATAGGATCAGGTCGACCTAATCAGTTGTTTCAGTGTAAAAACAGTTTCATGGTGCCTACTTTGGAGATTCATATCTTACAATTGGCTAGATGGAAATTGGAGATTAAAGGCTTGTTTTGAAGCTGAAGTGTCCATCTACACATTAAAGTACTTGGGAGCTCAATAGAAAGTTCAGAAGACCTTTTTTGAATCTGACCAAAAGGCTATGCCAAAATTGGGAAACTGCCTGAAAATGGCTAAGTCTGGCAACGTGTTTGTCAAGCCTACTTTGGAGCTCAATTTAAGAATCATGGATGCAAGTCAAGTCCAGGGGCCTCTACCACGTTAAATTGCATATTTTTTTATACAAAGGCAAGGCATTGGATGAAAGATTCAATATCTTTAATGCTTCAAACAAAAGGCTCGAAGTTGCTACAAAGGCTGTTTTTCTGGCAGCTTGCTTGTGCTCAAAGTCTGCAGAAAAACAGCCTTCGTAGCAACTTCGACCCTTTTGTTTGAAGCCTTAAAGATATCCAATCTTTCATCCAATTCCTTGAATTTGTATAAAAACATACTTAATTTAACGTGGTAGAGGCTCCTGGACTCGACTCGCATTCATGCTTCTCGAATTGAGCTCAAAAATAGACTTCACAAACACGTTTCCAGACTTAGCCATTTCTAGGCAGTTTCCCAGTTTTGGCATAGCCTTTTGATGAGGTTCAAAAATGGTCTTCTGGACTTCCTATCGAGCTATCAATCACTTCAATATGTAGAGGGACACTCCAGCTTCAAAACAAGTCATTAGTCTTCAATTTCCATCTAGCCAATTGTATGATATGAATATCCAAAGTAAGCACCGTGAACTGTTTTTACACTGAAACAACAGATTAGGTCGACCGGATCCTATATGAGGTCGACCGAATCCTAAATGAGGTCGACCAGATCTTATATGAGGTCGACCGAATCCTAAATGAGGTCGACCGGATCCTATATGAGGTCGACCGGAAAGTGCAAGTCACCGTGACATGCATGTCACTATAGGTACACCCTAAATATTTTGGTTAATCTTTTGATCTATAATATCATAGCCCAATTTATACATCAAAGTTATGAAATTGGTCAAACTTGATGTTTGACCGTTATTTTAGATGATCAAACACGTTGATTAATGGTCAACGTGCCACGTCACTGCCAAATCAGCACCTTTCACCTAAAAATATTTATACTTTCCACCTATTACTATTTTTCTTTTTCATTTTGAACCAACAAATAAAAGGAAAAATTAATTCACATTTTCGGGTCCCCTTCTTCTTCTTCTTCTTCTTCTTCTTATTGCTCTCCTAATCCTCCTTCCCCGCGCTCTTCTTCTCTCCGGCTACGGCTCCAGAATGCAGCAATGGTGGGTGTCAAGAACCAGTTGCTCCCAATAACTCGAGTTATTGGGACCAACTGGTTCTTGACATGGTATCAGAGCTAGTTTGGCCAAGTGGTCGTGTGTTCGAATCTCCACGACCCCCAATATTAACCTTTGATTAAAGCACAAGGTATGGTGAGCCTGTGCAAACTTCAAGCCCGTGAGTTGGCTTTCGTTTGAGGGGGCGTGTTAGAGTGTGATATAAGATCCAGCAGAACCCTCTCCCAACAACTCGAGTTATTGGGACCAACTGGTTCTTGACACTGTTGCGGTTACTTAAACCGTGTTAGTATTGGGCCTTGTTGGGCTTCGTCTGATTCGTTGGATTAGGGTTTTAACCCTAAGTTTATCTATATAAGCTTAGCTATCGACTTGTGTGATAGCAAGCCGTCACAATGTAGTCGTTTAATAAAACGTCAGCTGTGAGCTCTTTCAAGCTCACCGTGGATTAGTCTCGATCAATCGATCGAGGATACCACGTAAAATCCTTTGTTTCGTGTTCGTTTCAATTCCGCATCATCAAATTCTACATGGTATCAGAGCAAAACTCGATCCCTTGTCTAGGGTTTTGAGCTTCCGCAGTGTTGCCTCTCCGCAGCAGCATCGAATCATCGATGTTCTTTATCATCCTCGTCGTGCGCATCACGACGTTGTTGAATCATCATCATCACGGTCGAATCCGTCGGCCAATTCGCTACTTTCTTGGAGTCGTTTCCATCTCCAGCAATGGTTGGAGTCTCCATCTCCTTCGACAAAATTGAAGCAGAGAAAAGGACTTCCGACTCCAAACTCGTCCAGTCACCATCTAACCGAGCCATCCATCAGCTTCTCGAGCGCATCAACCCGCTCCTGTCTCCACTTTTGCAGTTCAGTGGCGAAGTCCTTTCCGCCATCACCGTCACTCAGTCACGGCCACTGGTCTTCTCAGAGAGACGAAGTCATCGTCTCCGTCCAGTCATAGACGTCGTCGTTATTGTCGGCTCATACCAAGGTTCCGTCTCTGCCTCGGTCAGGTCGCCATGTCCCTGTCACCGTCGAGAGCCGATGTCCATCCCGGCCTCCAACATGCTTGTCGTCGTCGGCGGCGGCAAGACAAGATCCTTAGATCGACCATCAACGTCCAGACTGTCATCATCCTCCGCGCCATCTAACGACGGCCGAGTCAACGTGGGTTGGATCAGCTTCGTTCATCGTCTGCGTCCCGACGCCGCTGAATCACCATTGTTGTTGGCGTCAGGCGAGACTGCTCAAATCCGAGCCCCCCACCATAACCAGCATTGTCTCATCCGCAAGATCACCATCAGAGATCTTCTTTTGCATCTTGTCTCCCGCCATTCCGCCGCCGTTGATTGCTTCTCCTGAGATGGTGCAGTTGATGAGGTGGGCGCATGAGGGAGAATTTGCGAAACCAAGGGTTTCTTTCTCCATTTGGGCCATCTTCAACAAAATGGGCTGCCAAATTCAAGTGTGGCCATGAGGCCAAATTAGCCCTTATGGGCTTTAGCATATATTTTTGGTAACAGTTTATCAAAGAACTCTTCAATTAGTCTTTTTGGGTAAGCTATCTCATTTTGCAGGCTTTACCCATCAACTATAGTCAAGTATCAATTGAGGCATTCACGATTCATAAAATGATCGTCCCCTGGCGTTCGAAAGGTAGTACGATCAGAGAAGTTATCTTCCCTTTATCGTCCAGTTGGCATTTGCGATCCAAGAAATGATCGTCCCCTCTTCCGGTTCATTAGTGGGCACATATCAACCATTCATCGCTTTTCAAGCTGGGCATTCACGTTGTTCATGCTCCAGCTTGAGGGGGAGAATAGGAGGTCAACATATGTCGGTCGACTAACTCAGTCATCAGGTCGACCGCGATGTACTAGGTGTGTTCAAGTTCAAGAGACGTAGTCAATCGTCTCCATCATCAGGTTGTTCAGAGAGAGTCAGTCGTCTCCAATAAACCTCGTCCGAGATGTTATTCATCTCGAGTTTTGTGGTTCAAGCCATCATGCTTGTTCTTCACATTTACTTCTTCAAGCTCGACATTCTTGTCATTCATGTCTTCGCTTGAGGGGGAGTGTTGCGGTTACTTAAACCGTGTTAGTATTGGGCCTTGTTGGGCCTCGTCTGATTCGTTGGATTAGGGTTTTAACCCTAAGTTTATCTATATAAGCTTAGCTATCGACTTGTGTGATAGCAAGCCGTCACAATGTAGTCGTTTAATAAAACGTCAGCTGTGAGCTCTTTCAAGCTCACCGTGGATTAGTCTCGATCAATCGATCGAGGATACCATGTAAAATCCTTTGTTTCGTGTTCGTTTCAATTCCGCATCATCAAATTCTACAGTGGGACCAGCCCTGTCTATTCCTTCCTCCTCTTCTTCTCCTACCATGTCCAAGAGGAAACGACCAACATGGCTTGATATCCCCGCTTCCGCGATGGGATTCGGTGCACCAGCCAATCTGACTGTTGTTGCCGAGCTGGCCGAGGTCGAGAGGGAAGGGGATGGCTACTCCATTTTCTGCAAGAGAGGGAGGAGAGAAGCCATGGAGGATCACTTCTACGGTGTTTTTGACAAGCCATAGGGGATGGCTACTCCGTTTTCTGCGGCGACGGCACTGCCGTTAATGACGTCCGCACTACCATTAACGGCAGTGCCGACGTTGGGAAATTCATGCAGAGGAGCTACAGCGGGAATTCCTTCGACGACGATGTTGGCGGCGACAGGAGAGCCGAGGGTTTCTTTTTCCAGCCGCGATTCGATACTCTGCTTGAATCCTAGTTCCCAGAGCTACCAACTGTTGGGATGAATAGCTTTGAAAAGCTATAATGAAATTTCTAATTAGTTATCCAGTATTTTCCCATAATACGAAATTAAGATGGATAATTAATAAAAGGAATATTATGGAGATAATTAAAATTAATTATCTTAATAGATTATATTTTAATTATAGGAGTAATTATCTCCCTAATTAAAATGTGACTTATTCCCAAAAAAAGAGGGAATATTCTGGGTTTTCTGCTCCTATAAATAGGAGACCCCCCAGACCTTCTAAACACACCTCAGAGAGCAGAAACACGAGAAAGAGAGTGAGTTCATAGAGTTCCGATTTTCGCACAAAACCGCAAAGCAAATCAAAAGAGTGGTTGTTTTATCCTGGAGGCGACCGGCTGATAGTCTGTTGTGCGAATAACGAGGAAGTGCCGCGAACGTCTTAAAGAGAGCGACCTAGTCCGCGACTCATCCAGGTCGGTAACCTAATTTTTTTGTTCGATTTCTAACAATTTTAAGACGTTTTGTTACTGTCATTTGTACCGAACAGGATACCGATTCTGGCTCAAGCGATTTCCATCGTTGAATGACCACAATTCATCACAAAAGTAATTCCCAAATCGCCGCGCAAGAATACGATTGCTGCGGTCGACTGCCATGGAGCATATGGACAATGGGGATGAAGGGAATTAAAAGGGGAAACCTTAAACTCATTGGAACTCTTAATCGTGTGTTTTCTAAGGGATTTATTCCATGGGAAGGACTTTTTGTTCTTTGCTTTAGCCTTTAGGGGAGAAGGGGTATTGGACAGGATAGAAGGCGGATCTCGGAGCTAATGGAGTCCAAAGAGAAAAGAAGAATGAATAGGGAAGCTTATGCTGCTCCGATTTCGTGGCGGCTATGAAAGGAGCTAATACCCTCTCCTCTCAAACCCTAAGCGGGTTTTTTTGTTGTTGTTATTATTAATAATTTTGGAGCTTGTCAAACAGGTAAAGGGAACGAGACCAATCATCTTTAGATGTGGAGATTGAAGTAACTGAAGTTTCTTTTCTAACCTTTAGGGCTCCCGTACGGACAGGCGATTGGAAGGGAGATAAGGCGGGAGTAATTATGTGCCTTCAATTTTTCTCCTTTGTCCAATTAATTGTTTTGCAATTAACTGCTCTTGTCCGCACTTTGCTTTGCCCCACACTGAGAGAGACGCAGGTGGCTTAAGGAATTGAGAGGGCACAGAACCCAGTGTCGTCGTCTTGCTTATTGGAATAAATTGGAACCCAGGCACCCGCACACTTTTCCTCGGCACGTTGCCGCAAGTATCATCGTAGAAAGCCACTTGGCTATGGAATCATTATTGGGTAATTAAAGTGGAGAGAAGCATGAAAAGAAACAAAAGAGCTATGCATGGTGCTAGCTAATTTTTGAGAAATCAGAAAAACAGAACGCAATGACTTCTTGAAAGGTGGTAAGAATTGAATGACAACTTTCATAGGGTTTTGTGCATGAAATTGAGAAAGGTTATGAATGCTAGAATGAAAGCTTGAATTGATGCATGATAAGTTGACATTGAGATATATTACGTATCTCGATGATTAGAGCATAAATTGAATACATGCTATGGAAAGAATATATGATTTTGTCTAAATGTGTGCATTGAAGAATATATGGGAATAGAATGGGTTTATTGCCCATAATAACGATATTGTAAGAAGTACTATTATTAGTACTACACGAACCACTTAGGCTGCTCTTAAACATTAAAGTTTCAAGAATGAGAGCAGCAAGCCGAACCAGATCCATACCAAATAGAATGGTACATTTTGTGGTAACCATAAGATTGTCACCCAATCCTCTAAGAATGACGCTATGTTTCTCTGTTAAATTTGTGAGAAACTAGGTCCTAAGACACGAAAGTGTAAGAACAAGTTTAACCTAGTGTTAACTTGACTAAATAAGAGGATTTGGTGGTTATAATCACTAATGGGGTGATAGGCCTTAATGGCAATTCTGAAAAAATGGTGGTTGGATATTGACGCCTCAAGGCATGCATCTGATACAGTAGCTAAGCTCAATCATGCATTGAGGCATATTGAAGGAGAAAGTGTTGTTGGGCAAGACCCTCACCACTATTGTTGTTGGTTCTGGGAAAGTGGAAGAGAACCCTACCTCTAGAAAGTCATTGACTATCCTAGACGTAAGGAATGGTTAAGTAGATAAGATAAATTCTTCCAAGTGTGTCTGTGTGAAGAATTAGAATATATTATATCACATTCCCATATTATTATTGGATGCTTGAGAAAAATATGAATTTTGTATATCCAAGCTAAATGACCCATAAATATGTTATTAGAGAATCAGAATCGATATATATGGTTTATTTTGATAATGGTTAAACAAGGTGGAAAGACAATAAATTATTTATTGCTCTATATATTGTCTTGTCTAGTTATTGGAGATGCTAATTTGAAATAGCTTGAGAAATGCTTAATTGCATTGTTACTGATTGCACTGATTATTCAATATATCGCATGCTTGTGGTAGAGTTAACAAACCAGTGTAGTGATAACTAGAAGAGCATACGAGTGTGTTTTATGTTGTCAAGCATAAAAACACATAGTTCCTATGAAACGAAATACTCATGTTGTTGTGAAATCCATTGATGCCAATAAACTTCCATTTTAAATCAAGAAATAGTGGGGGTAGTGTCCTGCCTACTATTAGAAATAATAGATCTAGTGGGGGTGATGAATTTGAGTATGAATTCACAAGAGACAAATGAACCATAAATCACTAAAGGATTTTGGTTATGAATTTGTTATTACACTCTAAGAAAGATCCCACAAGTCTGCTTGAATTTTGAACTTCCAAAGATATGCAGATTTGTGGAATAATCCATTATTAGCGAAATGGAATTTGTGGAGTCTAGTAAGACTTAGAATCTTGTAGAGTTGCCTCTTGGTTATAAAGTCTTGGGTAATATATCGGTGGAACCAAACAAGATTTGGCATATTTGAGAATTACCTCCTGGCAATGAAGCCAAGGTAATAAATGGATTCCTAAAAGGAAAAACTGAAACCTAATGGTTTAGTTTATGAGTATAATGATCGCATGGTAGTTAAAGCTCCAGGTGAAGAGGAAAATTGTAGATTTCTTTGATATCTATTCACGAATATGTAGAATAACAACCATCATATGGATATTAAACTTATTTTGTGAATGGTGGCTTAGATAAAGAAATCTACATGAGACAACCTAAGAAGTTGTTATTCTAGAACATGCTTCTGGAGTCTATGGTTAGACAAATCATTATATGATTTGAAATAGACTCAGAATTCGTGGCATGATTAATCAGATTCTCTCTCATGGTTTTAAAAGTGACAAGTGCATTTAGTACAAATTTGAGAATGACACTTGCATTATGAATGACACGTCGATCTTTACAAAGACTTGAGATGTCAATATTGAAAAACCATGATGGTTGAGAATTTTGAATGTGAAGGATCTGAATGAAACAAATGTTATGCTTAGAGATCCTAATAACTAGGAAAAGACAAGATGTACACCTGCATACATGTTTGATGATGCTAGTATAAATATTTAAAGAACACCTAAGACGGTGTAAGAAAGTTAGAATATACTAGCATTTACAGTCTGCGAGGGGCAACTAATAAATATGAGACCCGATTTAGTGGGG